TTAACTAAACCATTTTAACTTCAAATTCAGATACATGGTATTTACTGGTCATAGAAATAAAAAGGAATCAATTAATGTACATCTCTTCTGACGCAATGTTTTTTTGTTTTTTTTCTGGTGTAAGTATGTTGTCATGACGGCTGACCCGATAGAGCTAATCATTAAAAAAAAAGGAAATATTGCGTCAGCAGCTCCTCTATCCTTAGTTTCCTACATTGTTACCATCCAATAAAATTTGGATTATAAACGTTGCTCGGCAACAGCGTTTTTATTACACAGACTTTCAAACGCATCACTAACTACTTACTTTAATTTTAATCGTAACTGCGCAATGATGCACATTGCTTACAAAATCTTTGAAACACAAGTGTCGCCTTTAATTTTATTTTATACATTTGGATACAAGAAGTAAGGTAAGTGTGAATTTCAAACATAGCTGAGGTAGCAGTTAAATTTTAAGTAATCACTTTACGAACCTTCAATCAATACGCCCTTAGACTTATGCGTTAAATAGTAAGAAAATGAGAATATTTATTTCGTCGATGATGTTAACGAAATAAGAATAATATAATGTTTTAACAATAAAACGAACCTTTCCGGAAATGGCATTGTTCACTTTTACTTGATCACACTAACGTGAAACATAGTTCTACACTAAAACAAATATAGGTTAGGCCTATTTAATTAATAATTTGAATTAAATTATATTTCATTTGGAATTAGAATATAAAAGAAAGTAATCTGTGTATTGATAATGTATTAAGTCAAGACATTTGTACTACCATAAATCCTCAAATAAGCGCCGCTTTCGAATTAAGCATCACTCTCGAATAAGCGCCGCTTGTGATTAGTTTGCATTACAACAATATTCAGGGGCGGATTTAGGGAGGGGGCGGCCCGGCCCCGGCCACAAATTTTGAGAAATAAAAAAAAGAAAAAAGAAAGAAGAAAAGAAAGAAAAAGAAAAAAATGATAGCCCAGAACGCCTCAAATGTTATTTTCGGGCGTCTAGAACACAAAAATTTCGCGCCATCTGGGACATTATTGTCTCGATCGGCCCAAATTTCGGCCCCCCCACCTTTTGGACATCTCTGGATCCGCCCCTGATATTTATAGACAGATTACACGTCATAATTAACGTTAAAATTAAAGAACGCAGAAAAGTCGAACCATGGTCGGACTAGCAGAAGCGACGTTATGATTGTGTGAAAAACAAGAATTTTGTTCGGATATTGGACCTTTCATGTAAATTTAATACTTGTTTAATGTCGCAATTTAGTTCTATGAATTTAATATTAATTTCTTACGTTTAAACAAGGATGGTGGGGTTCCCTTAGCTATCCACTGTGTTTACATTAGCACCTGCACTTCAACACAAACACATGAAAATTCAAACATGATTTATGCCCGTTTCATGATTTAGGTCTACCAGGCCCTCACACTAATTTTTTTCCCAATTTTTTTTACAGGAATTATAATAATGATGCGTCTTTTAGAAGTACCTATCTTCGTGGTCTTCATCTGTTTGGTAGGTAATTCAATATCAGATACAAAACCTACAGCCAGTAGTACAACAACTAATGGTAATTACACGGAGACTAATACTACAGAGAGGATGGACAGTACTACAGAGAGGATGGACACTGGTTTTGCACTGAACACTGCAACTGATGTTACGGACAGTACGGCAACATACACGAGGGAAACTGAGGTGAAAAAAACTGGAGTGGCAACAGCAACAACAACGGAAAATTGGGTGAGAGTAGGTGAAACAGAAGAGACCACAACCATAAAGGGAAATAAAATGACAGGAGAAGATGGAAGAAATGGAGCTACAACAGCCACAATGAAAAATGGAGTCACAGGAGGTGGGGGAAGTACAGAAGGACAAGATGCCACAGCCACAATGGGAAATGCAGGGACAGAAAATAGAGGAGCAACAGAAAATGGAGTGACAGTAGGCGGGGGTGGTGAAGGACAGGGAGGAAATGGGAATGGAGACGGAAATGGTAATTATTGCGGTATTTTATAATAATTTTTTGTTTATAGGATTTTTATATACGCCCTTAATCATACACACACGCACA